CAAGCGATTTTATAATCGACAGCTAAACCTTATGGACGTTAAACGAACCATCTAGACCGATATTAAATGCGCGTTAGCTTGGATCAACTCATCCACAAGCGAAAAGTTGTCGCCCTACGTCTAGAACACATTAAACGAAATACGGCCGGCCAAAGTCATAGCATACGCCACCGTACCGACCGAAGACAACCCAGCTGATCTAACTATAAAGGGGTTATCCTGGGAAGACTTCGCCAAAGAAGGCAAAAAGTAGACTGGCCCCGAATGGCTTCGAAACGAGCAGTCGAAATGGCTATTCATTTCACCAGTACCTATCCATGGAAACGATAACGGAATATTTGTTTTGGCAATGAAGAATTGGTTCTAAAGTAGTTGCGGGCAATAATTCTGCCAGAAACTATTTGAGAATGGGAGGTAGATCTCGAGAATTATTTGCTATTCTAACCACAGAAACAACAATTCCACAGCAGCGCTTCACAAATTCATTGACATTCAAAATTTCTGCCATTGAAGTCTTTATCATCTAATTTTTCTTTTATCAGCATTTGACAGTCATTTGATATCCAACGTTATCAAATGACTGTCAAATGCTGATAAAAGAAGAATTATAAAAATATTCGTTCCTTTTTCAATGTTTTCCACATCTGTTCGTTTCACAACATTATGATCCTTCAACCATGCGACATTGCGATTCGATTTGATGCAGCGTTTTATGGAGGTATTTGCTTATCTGTAATCATCATAACCAATTCATCAATGCTCTTAGACATAACAGCATTCATTAGTATTAGTGTGAGTCATAAGGTGATAAGGTGAGTAAGATGTGATCCATAAATGCTGACAGTTTCTTGGTTTCATTAAATTATCTCGCTGTGCTTCGTAACTCGTAGTAGACGAGGTGGCTGCCTCTTGTACCACTTCCTCTTTTACCTGTGTACAGCTTCAAGTTCTAGTAGATTAAATTGGAGTTTATGTCGCATGAAGTGTATGAATCGCAGCGTCATTCTGATCGATTTATTACTCAGTTCAAGCAAGTGAACGTATCGGTCGGTGCAGTAGTGGCAACGAAAATCAACAAAATGATCAACGTGATATGGTGCCTTTACTAGGGAACGTTCGTATGCATAATTGTACTGATGAATTGATTACGTTGATTACAGATAGGCAAACACCCTCATGAAACACTGTGTCAAATCCAATCGAAATGTGGCATAGCAGATCTTCGCATATTCCTCGGATAGTGCAGGTATCGGGCGCAGACGATGTTGACATTTACGGGGAAAATTGACATTTTATAATGATTATGTTGGGCATTTAAATTTTACGGTAGGTGTCGACATGATCGTTGTCGCAGATGATTTCGTCGTTCTAGACGAAAACAATTGATAGGGATGGGAGCGATTCCATGATTTGTTTCGAAATTTCATAATCCTGGCTCAAAAACTTGTCATATCGGGAAAATTTGTTAACTGTGCAGTTATCTTCAGCCAGAACGCCGAACCTCAGAGCACCACGGAGTTCGTTGTGATGGTTGTGACAGAGAGGTGGTCGGGAATCGTTACAAGTGTACGGTTTGTCATGACTACGATTTATGTGAAGAATGTGAACGACAAGGCAGGCATTCGCAGCATCCGATGACCAGATATTCCACACCAATTATTCCGGTTGGTAATTCGATGTAGCCGAGGTGTTCTCAGTTGACGTTTTGTGAGTCGTTTCTATTGAGCAAAACAGTGGTCAGTTTTGCTCAATTTGCAAAGTACTCCTTCGAATCGATATGAATTTGTTTTCTGTGTAACTTCTTCCAACATTTCTTGACTCCTTAAAATTGTTCCTTTTGTAATGACTGCGTTGAGCGCTTAAGTTTTACGGTAGCTGTGGATGTGGTCGTGGCCGCAGAGTTTGTCATCATTCGGGGTTCCGTCATGCTGCTGTTTTCGGAAGTCCGTTCGCAACTGGAATTCTCACCTCGTACCCCATAATGGCCAACCTATAAATCGACTGAGTCGCGGTATTCATTAATGAATATGTATGTTTTCAGAATGCCGCACGTGCAAGAAGATTTGCACCTCTTCGCCAAATCGGCACACGAATTCAGCGATGGCTCGCTAACTTCGGTATATTTTAATTACGGAATTTAGTTCCCGGAACGAAAAGAAAAATTCCTTGTGAATTTTGCGATTATCCCACTTAATTCCTTTTTTGATGAAATTGAAGTTAATGTGGATGTAGAGCATGGTGGTTAGATTGAGAGGGTACCGAGACCAAATCAAACAAGCAATAGTAATAGTAATAATAGTAATAATAATAATCATAATAGTGATAATAATAATATTATTAATATTAATAATAATGACATTCAAATTTTTGATTATGAATACTCACGTGAATCTGGAGCAGCTGCAGCCCGACTTCGTCAAGAAATGGACGATTTTCTTTTGGCATTGATGATTTCCTCACAACCCAACGCTGATATTTCATCAAGTCAGTCGTTTATTTTGATTTGTTGTAAAAGGTATTCGTTCATTTGTGAGCATTTGATACGTAGAAATCTGATAGTATAATATGTCTATTGAATGATGTGATGATAAGAATGGGAATGAAAAATTTTTATGAATACAACGTGATACACTTGAAAGGTATAAGGAATGGGTAGTGAGATTTCAATTGAGGATATCGAGAATCGTTTGTGATAGAATTTAGGCGTAATTCTGTCAGAACTGAATTGCAGTAAATGCGTTGTCTCTCAATCAAATGACCAATGGGCCAATGCCTACGGTTTACCTTCTTTCTGTAATTGGTTAATTTGTTGCTTATTAAGGTAGCAGTCAAGCAGCCGATCTTTATAATACGTTAACATTACGTAGTCGCAATAGACGAACTCCTTTAAACATTGATGGCATTCCTCGTCTATCAGGAGAACAACTCTGTAATCAAAGAACCCTGCCACCGGGTCAGAGTTGTGTGATTTGTTTTATCCAACCGCCAGAAGAGCCGGTGGGATGTGTACAGTGCAGGCAAATAATTGGATGTAGACGTTGTGTAATCGAATGGAACAATTCCTGCAACAGATCCATACCTAATTGCCCGCTGTGTCGTGCAGAATGGTACTTGGGGCCAGAAATAGTGCGTTGGGATGAACTTCGTACCAATTGAAGTAGTGCGTTCTCCGAATATTCTAGTTTTAATGTGTTTTTATTGATTTGCAACAATTGTGCTGTTTGGCTTGTTCGTTATCATTATCATTTTTGCGATCAAATTATTACTGTTTCATTTTTAATATGATCACAATGATGCATTAAGTTTGAAGAAGTTGCCTGTTTGCTCGCAATTATTACCGATAATAAGTTTTAATTGTATTGTGTGTTTTACGATGGAATTGAATATGTTGTATGTGGTTATCGTTATGAATATCGTAAGCTATAACATGGTGGAACATCTGGATAACTGGTCAATAAGAGACGTACAGTTGTTGTTGCTCAGTCGTTCTCAAGCTCGGGTGTTCATTGCCCCTTTTGATGGTCTGACAACCCGCCGTTACCCCCACCACCTCCTGATGCAAGTCTGTGCATGACGTCAGGAACAAATGGAAAACCGCTAAAGAAATTTCTCACAATCAGTAACGTGAAAAAAATTAACTTTCTTGAATGGAACAGGTATTTTTAGAATATTTTTTATCCACTGCAGGAATAGTGTGAACCTCGACAATCAAAAGTGAAAAGTAATGAAAAAAGATTCTTCAGCGATAAACAATGAAATTTAACAACAAGTTGAATTATTCATGAAGAAGGAAGATGTAATGAAGATTCGAGAGATTATCTTTCAGATGACCGGAAAAGCGATCATTCCATCAAAGTGATTCATCGAGGGGTGAAAATAAATTTAAACTATTGAGGGTTTTGAAATGCGCCAGGTGCATAGAATGTGATTGTGAGATTCCCATACTTTTCAAGCATTTCAGTCATTAAACTCATAAAAAATGTTGTCGTTCATCACGAAAGAAGTGTTATACCGGTTGGACGAACAGTCTTTAGCGACTGAAGAAATTGAAATTGCAAAAATTGAAAAAAGAGTTCGATATCATCGAATGGATACCACGTTTAAGAGATCATCCACGTATTCGTGAAGCAATATTGTCTAAAAGCCTTATTCACAATCCAGCTCTACAAACTTGAGAGTACGGTAGTTTGAAAATAGTGCTCCTGATATTCCTGTAGAATTGTATCATTGATCACGCTGAAGTGATCAAATGTGCACAGTTTGACGGTATCATAGAAGGGCTCAAGTGATTTGACTTATCATCAGAAAATCAGTTACACCTTTTGAAATGAGCGAAATCCATCGACAATATGAATGCTGAGAATCTGCTGAATCCGATGGTAACAAGAAATCCTGGTGCTGCTGAGCAAACTTGAGAGTACATGTAGCTTAAAAATGGTGCTCGTGATACCACAGCATATTAAATCTCTTAATCTCCTGAAAGTAGAACTGTTCTGGTTTTAGAACTCGTGTTCTATAAGAGGGAAATGTAAACTGCGAGACCTTTGATGCATTTCTTAGTCCGCTTTGAGAACTTACAATTAGTTTAATTCAAATTTCGTTTACCAAAATTTTTTCGTATTATTGGAAGAAACCGTCAGAAAGGAAAAGTTATCTGGAAGACTATAAACATATGTCTCGTTCGCGTATTCTTAAAGGATCTCATGAGTGGTCAGCTGGTCTCCTCAACAAAACGATAAAATTTCACTGGAAAACTTAACGAATCCATTATTATCGGACAATTTCGCCGTTAAAACTTTTTGTCATCAAATTTTTCTCACACTCAGCATTTCACAATCATACGATGACGTTGGCTGCTACATTTTTCGATATTTCTACTTGTGTTCGTTTCACAATGTTGTGACATCTTTCGTCTGTGCTGCTGATTGTGAGTCATATTTGCTGCGAATATTGATTATATTTCTTCAGTTTCTATCAATGTCTCGTCTCTCTGACAGATTCGCCTCCATTTCTAGCGAAATACAATTGCTTCGTGTCGACATTCTTCAAGTTTGACTGTCTCTATTGCATTTCCTCACTCTCAGAAATATTTCCGAGTTGATTTGCACACCGTTTTAGAGGAGTGTTTGCTTGTCTGTAGTCAAGAACGTTCACTAGTATGAGTGTGTACTATAAGACGATTGAATGCTAAACATATGATCCATAAATGCTGACAATTCATTGCTTTCGTAAAGTTACATCGCTATATTTTGTGACTTGGTGAAGAGAAGGTGGCTGGCTCTCTTTCTGTTTTCACCTTTGTAGAGCTTGAGTTTCCAGAAGATTCGAGTAAATTGGAGTTTATGTCGCATGAAGTGTATAAATAGTAACGTGATTCTGATCGACTTCTCATTCAGTTCAAGCAAGTGGACGTGTAACGCTCGGTCATGGCAACTAAAAACGACAAAACGATCAACGTGAAATGGTCACATAATGGTGCCTATCGACGATTCCAGATATCGGGCGCAGATGATGTTGACATTTATGAGGCACTTCTCCAGAAAGTCCGCTCGATAATACCGGATTTTAATGACTGCTTCGCTTGGAACGGTTCCTTCTTACTTTCATAGCCTTTTGATTTCTCCATTTTTTGCTTCCATTTCAAAATTGTCCACCTCAACGTCATCAGTTCGAATCAATTGAGAAATTGCAAAAGTTTTAGTCAGTTTTTTTCTATTCCTTTCATATTAATGTATTTGTGGAAGATATTTTTTGTGACTGAGTAAAGCATTTTCAAGATTTTGTCTTCAGAAATGACCTGTAATGAATTTCAGATGAGGATGGTGATGAGATAGTGTTTTCGAGTTATGCTGAGATGAAAGAGGCACTCGCGCTTCCACTCAATCAGAATCTGTTCCGTATTTATACTGTCGGTAAGTGAATCCGTTCATTGGTCAGGCATACGAAGCCTCTGATCCACATCGAAAATCAGTTTTGACTTCTGGATACGTACGATTTTTCCGATTTTGAGATTTCACTTTCCACAATCTCATCGTTGAGATAGAATCATACTAAGTCAGCAAAAACTTATTTTGTGATGCTTTCTCATATCCGTTGATTCGTTTATATCTTCTTTCAGCAAAACCATCTACCCAACCCAGGGAAGCCGAGGATAATAAGGATCAAACTAAGGAGGTTAGTACAAATCGATAATTTATTCCGAGAACTCTTTGAAACAAACTTTTGACTCGAAACTAAAAATGAGCATTTTAATGAATGAACATTGAAGAAATTCTCCGCTAACGGCATTTATGAACTGGGAAACCGGTTGTAGTGATGTCATGATATATTTTGAGGTTTCGTAATCTTGGCTCAAAATCTCGTCATGTTTTGTAATTGTGCAATTATCTACAGGAAAAGCGAGCTAAAGTAGTGCACAATGGAGTTGTGTGTGATGAATGTGACAAAGAGGTGGTCGGGATTCGTTACAAGTGTGCGGTTTGTGATGATTACGATTTATGCGAAGAGTGTGAACGAAAAGGCAAACATTCACAACACTCAATGATCAGATATGCCACACCGAATATGCCGGTTGGTGATTCAATGTTGACGATTTGTTTGTTCTCAGTTCATGTTTTCTGGGTCATTTTTATTTAGGCAAAATTTTGGTCAGTTTTGATTGGTTTGCAGAGTGTTGTTTGGAATCGATACAGATTTGTTTCGTACGTACGTACCTTCTTCCGATATTT